GCATGGATTTCATAACATTCATAGTTGGCAAGGGTCCTCTGGTTAAATTGTGTCTCAAGTTCTGATTACTCATTGAGCTCAAGCCCTGGCCAGACTGACCCATGCTCAGTTTTTGCATCTGTCTGACCTGGACGCCGGGAGCGATCTGATTAGGTGGCACGACAGCCTGCTGGGAGAACTGCTGGCCCGGCGCGCTCGGCCTGGCGTTCTGTTTGGAGAAGAGAGTGTTACTGGAGAACTGCTGCATGCTGGTATCCATTTGGCTTTGATTTGGCATTCTTGGCACAGCCGTCGGTGTCCACATCTGGGCAGATGAGCTGGGGTAGACGTTAGGGATTCTTGGCACACTCGGCTGCCTCAAGTGCTGCTGAGTCGTGGAGTGATTTGCTAGGGAGCCAGAACTCAAGCCGGCCATCGGCATCCCCGGCCGCACAGCAGAGTGGCTGTGGGCTGTCTGGCACCCCGAGTTCATGCCCAGCGAGTTCTGGCTTGGCCGCAGCGGGATGTTAAAGTCAGAATTAGGTGGGAAAATCCCCTGCTGCTTGCCAGGGTTGTGTGGAATCATCACCATCGTCCCGCTGCTCTGGCTGGCAGTGGCCGGGGCCATGGCAGAGCCCAGGGTGCTCTGCAGCATGGCAGGGCTGGAGGGCAGCATGCGGTGGTTGGGCGCGGGCGCCGGCATCACCTGGCTGCAGTCAGTGGGCAGGGGCTGCTGCACGGCTGTGGAGAGAGACACACCTTAGCTGCTGGGCACCTGCTCACCCTGCAAACATGGCAGAGCCCTGACAGGCTGCTGCTCCACCTTTTTCTGTCATTACATGGGCCCCTCCTCTGTGTTCTCTGTAACAGTTGCAACTGGAGCAATAAGGGAATGGGTGAATCTCATGGTATGTGCTAAAATGTGAAATGCTTTTATTTCAGGGCAGAGAATCATTAAGTGATTCTGTATTTAATCAGCCTCCAGGCCCTGGCTCCTTGAGGCTTTTCCTAGCATGCTGTTTTCCTCCTTACCTTGAAACTGATTTATCTGCTGAGCTGCAAACAAACTCCTCTGCTCAGATGTTACTCCCAGCATGTTTTGTCTCTGCTTTTCCTGGAAAACAAGGGCCACAATAGATAAGTTGCAGCCTCTTGACAAACAAGAATAGCAGCAGACACTGAAGCCACTGTCACCATTAACAGCCTCTCCCATACACACACACACACCTCTGATGAGACTCAGCCCAGACAGTTCCTTTCAGCCCAGACCTTAATTGCTCCCATGCCCCTTCTTGCAAAGGTGTCCTGAAACTGGCCTAGCATTAGGAAGCACAGCCTCTGGTAGATGCTGTACAGGAGCTCCAAGGCCCAAGGGGAGCTGGACAGACATGGAGACCCTTATGTACTCTGAAGTACCAGATCCAGGTGCCCAGCAGTCTATTAGAGCACAGAATATGTGGCAGCATTGCAGGGACACACTGACAAACAGAAGACTGTTGGTGGCTGTTACCCTGTCTGGCGGATGGCTCTGCTTCGATGTACCAGCACCTTCTGTGCCTCTCTGATGCCTCTTCTAACCAGAACATAGCAGTAAACCACAGGAAACCAGGGACCCTTAGCAGGTGCTTCCTGAGCAAGGCATTGGTGGCTTTCTCCAAGTGACTTGATTCGTGTCTCCCACCATTTAACCCCAGAACCCACCACAGCACTCGCAGCCCTGCTGTGCACAGCAGCTGTGACCTGGGGAACTCTCTGTGGACTGTGGAAGCTGAGGCCTGACCCCTGCTGTGTTACAGCAGCACAGAAAAGCTTGAAGCCAACTGATGACAAGTAAGCAGAGTTGGTTTTGAAAGGAAGTTTGATCAAGAAGCAGAACAGTACTTTGTAGAGGGTTTTACTGAGCTACTTCTTATGTCATTTCCCATTCAAAGAAATTAGCTTCTTTCACCCAAATCCAGCAGTAAGTTCCAGAAGTCAGAGGAACGCATTCAGTTCCACCTCACCCAACTCATCTGTGGGACTTCCCCATCCCTGCTCCTTCACACAGCATCTAACAAACCTTGTACAGGGACTTCTGTTCTAGAGAGACCAGCCAAGTCCAGGACAAACTGGAGACTGACATCTACTCTGGTAAATTCCCAGGGAACCAGAAAGAGACAAGCATGGAGAATCTCTCCTGGGGCTGACTCACTCTCCAAGCCTCCCTTCTCTGCACCTTCCCTCCTAGTTTTGTGGCTGACCAAGGATGACAGCAATCATACAGATGTGACTGAATCCTTCCCTTGCATACAAGTGGTCAGATCTGCACTTGGACTTGCTGAGCAGCATTGGCCCTGACCTCTCTTGGGTGTAACATCCTGGACCCACCACAGCCTTAGTCTGACTCAACCCAGAAATTCCTGGGTCACTCCTTATTTTTTTGCCAACTGGTGATTTCCCTGCTCCAGTTATTCCTGTCCTTCCCAGTGAGGTGGACAGCACAGCAACACACAGAGGCCCTCAGCATTGTACCTGCATCAGCTGTCGTTTCATTATTTGCTGCTTCAGTAAATGGTTCCTCATCGTGTACCCGTTCACCGTGGCTGGTGCCGGCACGGAGCCCCCGCTTGGGATGGAGCCCGGCTCCTGAAGTCTGGCAACAATTCCAGCATTTTGATCCTGCCAAGAAAGATGAAAAAAGAAAATTAATTTCATCAGAGAGATAACAACAGAAGCCCTTATCCTCTCTGCTGATGCCCTCTCTCTGTTCTTTGGCTGTCCCAAGGCCAAAACACCTTGTGGGTTCACGTGGACCCACATGTCATGGCGAGGACAGTGCAGGGCAGGGGACTGCTCTGGTTTCTGAGGAGCAGCACAAGAAGAAGTGAGAGAAGCAAAAGGTTAATCCCAAATTCTTGGTGACTAGCCCCAGGCTACGGGATTGATTCACTCCCATTACTGGAGTCACATGGCTGCCTGGCTGGCAGAAGGGATGTGAGTAAAGCATCACATTTCCCACCAGTTCCCCAACTGTTACACTGAAAGACATAAGGAAAGAAAAGTTGCATGAGGGTAGGATTTGACAATGGTATATAAAGGAAAAGCTACAGTAAAAGAAAACAGTAAACTAAAGGCAGAAGAGGGGAAAAGGTGCCACCAGGCCAGAGACCTGGAAAGATAGGGAAGATGTGGCTTTGGGATTGAAGTGGTTCTTGTGGGTTCCATGATCAGACAAAGAGAGGAGAACACGCAAAAATGGAGGGTCAGATTGTAGCTGGGCACAAATCAGTAACGCAGTGGGCCTGAATCCTGGCTGATGCACTAGTCTTCCTGTAAAGTCCCCAGTGAAAGATTTGAGCTGACTTTCACCATCTGAGGACTTGCCTCCAAAGAAAGAGCACTGTGGGAAGAAGAGAAAAAACTCTCACAAGAATACCATGAAAACACAACCCCAAAGGGTTTAAAAAAGGGAATTTAAAAGATACTTAAGTCTAAACATCTCAGGAGCTGGCAGGTAGTCAGGGAAGTGCAAGAGAAAATTGAGGGAAGAAGACAAGGCCTCACTGAGGAGAAGAAGGGAAGTGATGCTGCAAGTGCTATACCAGGCACAGCAGTACCAGTACATTCCCCTTCCTCCATTTTCACATCCAGCATCTACATTATTTATGATGTTTTGTTATTATTGGCAGGGAGAAGTATGTATATTATATCCAGCATCCTTAGCTGGGCCATGCTTCCTTTGTTTTCAGAATGGAAGCCCACATCCTTTGTTTGAGAATCAATGTTATCAGGAGATAAGCAAGAAGAAAATGGCTCTTGCCTTTTGACATCTGACAATTAGAAGCATGCTCACATGGAGAAAACAGGATACGAGCCGTGTTTCAGAGTGGCCAGCAGAAAGCCTTGGAAGGCATTTGTCACCAGGCAGGCTCCTCAGGCCTGGGGCACCTTTCCACAGTGTCTTTACCATGAGGAATCACCCAACTGCTTCCAAGACATTCCTTGGAAGAGCAATTACCAAGGTGGTCACGGAAATTACTCATTTTTATGGTGCCTCCTTTTGTTGTAGCACTTTGGTCTATTATGCAAAAACACAATTGATGAAATGTAAATGCCTGCTAGATAATTTACTAAAAGACACAAACCTGCAGCTCATCACTGCTCTCATTATCATTCCTATTCATGGACAGTCTCATAAGACTAGACTTTATTAGTGGTGCTTTGGTTACAATTCTGCTGGACATCCCTCCTCCTCCCGCTTTCCTCCTACCCATTTCACTCCCTCTCTCCCACAGGAAAAAGAAAAAAAAAAAGAGAAAAAAGTAAATATGATTTAGTACAGATGTAAATATGAAAGTTCATGTAAAGCGACCACTCTGCTTTCATGTCAGACAGGATTCTGCAGCCATAGTTAAGCTCTGAATAATGCAGATTGCCTCTAGGGGAATATTTGAAAGTGCAGGGATTCAGTTTGTGTACTCTGCACATGAAAGACACTGAAATGTTCATACCACCAAAATCCCTGCCATCTACCCAATTTCCTCCAAACTTGTCTTGTTGCGTGCAGAGGGTCTGTGCTTACTGAAGCAAATTAGTTTAGTGCAAGGACAATCATTCTGATGTCTTGCTCAGGGCTATTGCATTAACAAGTCATAACATTAAAGTCTCTTTTCCTAATCACGTCCACCTCATTCTAATTTCTCCTAAACATCATCAAGAAAATAATGTTGATTTTTCCATAGTATTAATGGTAAAGAAGTGTAAATCACATTACTTATTGCAGCTCTTGTGCTGTGGTAGTACAAGACTTTAATTATATGGGATTTTCTGCAGGCACCCTATAGCAATGACAATCAGCAAAGTCCATTTGCAAATACACAGAATGGGTTGCTGAGTTTTTCAGAGCAAAGTTGTATAACACTTAATTAGCCAGTAAAGAAACAATCTACAGATATAAATTTTGCTTTGGGGGAAATTAGGACAAAATGGCATAGATGGGAAGACAAGGAATGAATTCAAAATCTTGCCTTCTACAGTTCACATTGAGGTGAAGCCAAAAAAGAAAAAAAAAAAAAAAGAAAAAAAAAGTTCTCTCTTTTCACCACTAGTGGGAACTACTGTATTCCCTTACAATAAAAAATAACCACCTAAACGTCATGGCTAAGAATAGCTCTGGTGTACTCTAAAGGACACTGCTATCTGTACCAAAGGTTAATGAACTTTAAACATTTTTCCTTTTCATCACTCCCCAAGAAAAATCACTTTCCTTCCCATAGTAAGGCCAAGCCAAACAAGCAGTAATCTTAGTTTGTCTTTAGTTTGGATTATCCCATTTTAAAATCCAGGAAGACAGCAAGGAGAGAAGACTTCTAGTGTTGAAGTAGCGAATGATGGAAGGGGGTGTTCACACCCAAAGGCTTGTGTGGCTGAGCCAGTAGCTGCAACCTACACTGGAGGACACAAGTAGTTATGAAGGATTCTTACTCTTAAACTTAAAAAAAAAAAAGCAGTTGCATGGAGGTATCGTAGGTGTTGCCATTCTTCCCTCAAAATAACCTGTATTACAACAAGAAATGGGCTGAACCCCTGCCCAAATGGCATGCTACACAGACCTGGAATTGGAGAGCACAGCAGGTCCTGAGCTCCCACAGCTCTTCCAGGGCTTTCCAATGTGGCCATTTCAGTTCAAGAGCCACTGGGGCCAGACTGATGGTTTTGACTTAGTGTGCAGTATTTCAAGAGCAAGGAGGGAAGAATCAGGCTCCAGGAATGTATACTGTTCGTTTCAGTATTGAGCCACCCCACAGCCCAGTGACCCCAGTCCCTCCCAGCCCATGCACATGGGCCAGCTGCTCCAGGCAAGCACATCAGCAAAGTTCTGTGTCCAGTTGTAGTGAGTGTGGGCCTGGCCAGGAATTCGGGCACACACTTAATGCCAAGTGTGTGAACAGTCCCATGGAGACCTACCACGTATATTTATGAATCCTTCTAAAAATCCACTGAGGAGCTTGAGCTGCCCAGCCCCATCATCTGACTGTACGAGATGCACAACTGCAGTAAATAAGCGCAGAGATGAATTGCTCTGTGTGAAGGAGGTTGATAAAGTCCAGTCCTCAGCACTTAGTTATGTATCCAGTAATCACTTTGTGGCTTCACTTAGGCGAGAACGAAGAAATTTATGGCCCCTAATTCCTCTGAATCCTCATTAACAAACAGTCCAAAAGAATTTAAAAGCAAGACTTTCTGAAGATCTGAGCTAGAGCTTTGGCAAATATGTAAAAACCCTTCTAATCTTTAATAAAGAGCATTCATTGTTTTTTAGGACTGTGTGAAAACACTAAACTCATTTATCATTATTAAACTTTCCCATCTGCTCTTACGGTGTAACTCCAAAGAATGCAACAAAGAAATGTACATGTTAAATTGTATTGACTTAAGCCCAGAGCTATTGGAGACGTACAATTTATTTCAGTGAGGGCATGAAGGGGACTGCAGGCTGCTAGACAGAGTCATTTGTCCAATGCTGAAAAGACAGTTATCTGCACCAAAATGGCTCTTGGAAAGGCACATTTGCTTTATAAGAAATAAGCTGCCAGGTGAGACCATTCAGCATTATGTTACAGACCCACACAATAAAACTAAGCCATGAATTTCAATAGTTAACAGATGGACTAATTAGAGACTGAATTCTTTGTGGTTCTAACAGATAACCAGGTCACAGCAAGGTTACTGAGAGAGAGACAGACAGCTTTGCAAATTTCAGTAGATATTTGCAGAGTTGGGGAAGAACAGCACTTCCTAACTGAAAGCATTAGCAGCAGTGGGAGAACAGAAACACGCCTAATTAAAAATGCATAGAATACCTGCATTTACAAAGCTTACTCCATTTCAGAAGACACTGCTGATTTGAGAAATATTCCCTTCAACTTTCAATGGAGCATCAAGCTGAATCCAGTAATTATAGAGTTTAAACCAGAAGGACGAGCCACAGCAGCCCAGAATAAAAGGGAAAGACCAAAGGAACTGGGTCACTCAGGGTAGATGTTTGCTGTAAATACGAGGAAGAGACAAACTGCTTTTTCCACCAGGATTTTTTATGAGCAAAGATAACTTAGCTTGATGCATTTATGGAGATATCAGACAGTAAATTTAAAAAAAAAAAAAAAAAAAAAGTGAGAGGAAAACCATGGCTACAGGACTCGACAGGAGCCTATGCTACTGATCACTCTGGAGCCCTGGCTGCTCCGCCAGGGACTTTAGGTGGATCCACATTCACAGCAGGGATGGCTGTTCTCCAGGGGTGGGGTGAAGTTTCATTAACCAAGTTCTGCTCTGTATTTTAAGAACATCTGTTATGTACAGGGAGTTCTGTACTCTGCTGAGGAAATGCAAATACTAGTTTCAAACTAATGCTTCTGCATTTCCCCGTGCTCCCGCCCGTCTGCCAGTGCATCCTCTCCTGTCTCTCAGAGTTGCTGCTTCTCCTTGGTGGGGCTTTCATGCTTAGGCTGCCCTTCACTCTGAAGTTGAGGACCAAAATTCTTAGGCACCACCACTCTACAAATACTATAAGCAATTAAAACACTAATAGTATCAAAGTTGTCTCACCCATAGCATTCCTAAGAGTCTCAGGTTTAGATCCACAAAGCAACCACACATACATGCTCCTGGCATCTAGT